GTATATAAAACCTTTCAGTTAGATTAACATCGCCACCTGGCTATGCTTGGTCGCAGTTTCCCCTAGCTTTATAGTGTTAGTTCGACTTCGTTTTCGAAATTTGGCCGGAGCATTAGGGAGACCTTGCGGTAAGTATCTAATCCTGTGTCACCTGTCATAGAATTCGTGATTTCTAGCGTAGGACCATCGACTTGGTACATTCTCAAACGTTTAGCCGGCATCGTCAGTGAGAGGCGACATTGTCAGCACAGAGTTACAACTTATCAGTGACAAGTCTGGGAATGTTTAAGGTCAATGGTCTGATATAGGAAATCTCGAATAGTATGGCAGAAGGCAGATGACCAGATACGCACAAATCTACAGTCACAACTTCAAGGCAACAATACAGCCTTTGGTGCGGTTAATTTACTAATCTCTTCCATTCACCTCTTCAATTGCAATTAATCATGCGCTAATCTATAGCTAAGCTTCATATTCGTCTACGGATATAATACTTGTTTCTGATATTTTGATTTATATCATTACATGAGCAGTATTCAACTCTGCATTTTTAAATGAGGTGAATCTACAAGCCATGAACAATTTAGAGACAAATCAACTATGTGAAACACAATACATATAAATTCCCACAGAGAATCTTTTAGATTTATAGCATATATTATGTAAGTATAAAGAGCTGTGAGTAGTTTATGATAGAGGGATTGGAGGCCTGCAATACACGAAAGGTAAAGAGGGGCGCAGTACTTTTATGGATCTATATTATGATTTTAAGATTATATTTCCTGATATATGCAAACATGATTGTAGCTGTGGTTTGTTTTCGAGCTGTGGTTTGTTTTCGAGCTATAGTTTGACAGTTAAAATAATGTTTCAATTGTCGATATTCGGCTTCTAATAATAGACTTAAAGTTCCCATGAAGATACTCTTATGTATGTTATCTCATTTTGGTGTTGGTTCGACCGTGCTTCCGCAACTTGGTCGGAGCATCAAGGAGACCTTGTGGAACATACCTAGTCCTGTGACCTCTGCCATAGTATTCGTCATATTCAACATTTGACCATTAGGTGGGTACATTCTCAAACGTTTTGCCAGCATCTTCAATGAGAGGTGCCATCGCCAAAACAGAGTTACAACCTATCAGTGACAAATGAAGGAGCATTCCTCTTGACCAACTTTCTGTCCACCCGTTGTGGCATCACCCCTCGCCCCTATTATTTGTTCTACCATCTAGTGACACATCTCTTTCTCTCAACCCCACTTATTCACACAACTGTGGTCTTGTTTCCTTACTGTCGCCTAAGAGGGTGTCGCTACAAGTGGGTTTAGTGAAGCGATATCTCCACCACCGGTATTAGATGCCGTTTTAGGGCTCCTGACTTACATTTCCCCCCCCTTTTTTTTCCTACTTGCTGGTCAATTGGTCGCTGCTACACAGCAAAATTACTATTTGGCTGTCTCAAATCTGGCTGCCTAGGAGCTTTCAATTCCCGCCCTTGATTACGCCATATTCGAGGATTTAGAGCTGATGGTTCCCATGCCCATGCCCATGCCCATGCGCATGCCGGTGCCTGGGAATCTTCCTTTCTTTATGCTTCAAACCCATGACTCGATTATTCTCTCCCATCACACACTCCTCTCGTCTCTAGTTGACATTATCATCTAAACCTACGATGTTAATGTGTGTGTGTGTGTGTTGGCTGGTATCTCCCGTCGTCACCAGTCACCCCTTCAGAAGCAGATACAAAATATACACACGCCACATACGAGCATACAGTGGGGACCTCTATCTAGCCCACCTATATCTATAGCCTTTAATTTTATATCCTACATCTCACAGGTGAGCACCCTGGGTGAATGTTTTTTTGGCCAATTCCACGTCTGATTCATCTCACTGCAGTCGCCCTTTCCTAACTCCCCTTTGTTCCTCATGAGCCGTTCCTTGGTAATGCCTCTTCCTATTGTTGAACAGTTGTCCTGGGTGCAAGCGTTTTATTTTTGATGTTTTCGATGAATCTCCTAGTCTGTTCAGGCAGTACGCGAATTTATCACTGAATTTTCTCTTCCAATCTCCTGTTCACAGCCTCCTGGATCTTCAGTTTCCTGGTATTTTCACCATGAGGACAGTCTTTCCGCTGCATTCCAGTCAGTTGTGTGGCCGGTAATGGCGATGTGTTAAGTTATCTTCGACTTTTCCGTATCTATTTTTCTCCATATTCGCTGGTATTCTTTGATCCTTGTGCTGATTTTCCTCCCCGCCTCTTCGATATATTTTTGTTCACAGTCCTTGCACTTATGCTGTAAACTCCGGAGCACTCCATTTTGCTGACTTATTCATGTTGAGTTGGCAAGCTAGTGAAGAGGGTTGTCCTTACTTCAGAATTGTGCGAATGTTTCATTTCCCTATTATTGGCTGTAGCTTCCGAGCCAATTCGCAGGAGGGTAGACATATCCATCGTTTTTTCTCTTCTCTCGCTTTCCTTTCATAATCTCCATCCTTCCATCTATTCATCACCATCCGTATGTTGTGTTGTATTGCTTCTTCTGGATATCCGTTTCAAAAAAGACATATAAAATTAGTTTTCCCAGTACCTCTTTCCAGAGCTCAGAATCAGTTAGTTGTAAACTTCTTATGATTTACTCTGCAGTATTCCAATCTTCATCTCATAAGTATGGTTCGACTGGAAGTTGAGATTTTTTCTAGCATGCGATTTCTTTTGGAAAAGTTTTTCCTTGAGAGTTTCCTCGGAGCGAATGACCTCTACATCCAAGAACGGTAAGTGTCCGTTCTCTTCCACATCCATGGTAAATTTGACTTTTTCATCCATTTCTTGTATGAATATCAGGAAATTGTATAATTTTTATCTTTCATGCGACCAAATTGCGGAGTAGTCATATAAATATCGCACTATTACTGTTGGCTGCTTGGATAACATTTTTAAATTCTACTCCAACTTGTCCAACAGAGGTGGGAGTGGTGAGCCCATAGACGCGACCATTGAATGTGAAATAGATATTTCTTATATTTAGGTTGATTAATCGGGTTACAGACTCTACGCATTCGCTCTGTCTCCAGAGTGTCATTTTCTTTTTCCAAGATCTCCAGTAGCGCTTTTTATCTTGTGATGTGTGTACGTGGACTGTACATCAATGCTCATCAAAAGTTCGTTTCCTTCCAACATTACGGCTTTGATTCTTTTTCAAAATTCGTATAAATTCTTCACTTTATTCGATACTCTGTGATTCACTTTCTTTGATTGGAGTCAATTTATGTGTCGGTCCATTATTGTTGTTGATTATCTGCCTCAACGGTTCTCCTTTGTGTACCTTCGGCAAACTGTATGCTACTGGGGCTCTTCTATCCTTTTGTATGAGTGAGTTCATTGCCCATTTATTGATTTCCCCGTTCCCATTCATTTCCTTCAGCATTTTTTGCAGTGCACCTCTGATGTTAACTGTTGGGTCTTTTGTTACTAGTCGGTACATTATAGTGTCCCCGAGAATATTTTCTAATGAGAATATTGCCAATTGTCCAATGATGAATATCACAAATATTATAGCAGAGGGCACGAGACTAGGTACGTTCCACAAGGTCTCCCTGATGCATCGACCAAGTTGTGAAAACAGGGTCGAATTAATACTATGAAGCTAAAGGAAACTGCGACCAAACGGAAGGCCACACCATCTTCGTCTTCATATTCTCTATCTCATTTTATTGGGGACTTATAAAAGTTGCTATTTCCTATGTATTTAAATTAAATTTCTGGATAATTTTTGTGGATCCTTGTATATTTGATTTTATGGAAAATGTGTATTTTGACCTCTTACAACATATGGAACACAGATATTGAGGTCAAGATTATATTTCTTTTTATATAGTTGCGGTATCTAGGGCAATTTTTCAATGAAGAGTATTTGGGTATCGAAGACCTCTTTCCTATTATTCCATCTTCCCTTGTGCTTGAAGCAACGAATGGAGGGTATTCGTAAAAGAGGATTTCCTTGGAATTGCGATTTCAGATTTGTTCTGATGAATCCTTTATACACCATTCCAATGAATCTGCGCCGAAATTTTCTTTATCATGTAACAGACAACGTCGTAGTGTAAAAGCATGTAAGGATTCCTAGGGTGCCGAGGACTTGTTTACCCAAATCTTAATCGCAACCACGACATTCCCCCTTCCGGTACCGTAAATATGAAGAGATCGTGAAAAAGAAGTTGAATCAAATCGCTGATCATTTGTACTTTTCGCTCCGCTCACCTATCTGGATCGATACAACTAATTTTCTCTTGGTCTTTGGTAAATATGATGCTCTTTTCAGCTACACAACATTTTCTCCACGGACGGCTTATTACCGGAATCAGCCGGCCACAGTTCATCTGGGTCTACTGTGTGTACTACCCCTAACCACTTAGCAACCGGGCCTTCTGGTCAGCTATCTTCCTCCACCAACTTGCCCGCTTCCGCCTCAGTCGGCATTGATGTAAATGCATGCTCCGCTCCCATGGCAACCTGTCCGTCTGGCCTACCGGGTGTCTCCAGTCCGGCTTTGCTGCCACCAAGAGGTACTCAATGTCTCGTCACCCCGAATGATCTCCGACTGGCTCGCCTTCTTTGTCCCAGTTTGGTGCGACCACGACGTCTAGCTCGTCGACCCGGACGTCTGCCAGCTCCATCCACTTCCGCTGCTGCTGATGATAGTCATCAGGAGCTTGGTTTGCCTGCCAGTTCTAGTCCATCTGCTTGTCCAGCTGGACACGCGGCTTCTGGCACAGTCGTCACGGTAGCCAGTGTTCGTGCTGCAGGTGATATTTATTTATTATTTTCTCCATATCACCACTACATCTCAGCTAACACCTAAATGGATTATATAAAACATGCATTCAGTACATAATAATTATGCTTAGGCTAGATCATGCTCCATGGTTGTTTTCTCTTATCCATCCTTGATCATTAATGCCTTGAATCACTAAGTTTTCGAAGACAGACATTTCGAGCACACCATCATGGTATATTTTATTTGAAATTTTGATCTCACCTTCGTTCATGGCATTAAATGCAGCTATGTTTTGCAAATCCTTGCCTGGACACACGATCACTGGTCAGACGGTGTTGGTGATCCCATAGACAGATACTTTTTTCCAGGTCACCTTGATCCCAGCTCGAAGCTTTAGTTTGTGAGGAAAGCTTTTATCCTCAGCTCGCCAATAATTATTTTTATAATATGGCTAAGCCATCATTGCTTATTTCCTTTTATTCATTGGACTTGAATCTCTAATAACCGGTACGCATAAACTTTTATTTTCAGCATGCTCTTATCATAGTTACAATAAGAATAGCTTCAGTTCGGCTTTTACTACTCACATATAAACTCCATTACTTACTGTTATGGTTGCCTAGCCGGTTTTCACGAAAACACATTATTCTATGCAATCTGAATGTGGATATATCTGTGATATATCTCCACTTCACTTTTAAATGAATCTTTGCCAAAAAGTTACCTTAATACTATTTTCTTATTTTACACCTATACACGAGTATAAATTTTAATCTCTTCTTTTTGTAGCTAAGTAACCTCTGTATCACATTAATTTCTAGCACTATCTTATTTTTATTTATATGTTCAGATAGTAATTACTCTATTCAGCCATTAGTCAATTATTTTTTTATTAATTTATCAAATATTTTTCTCTGTCTCTCTTAGTCAAGTAGATTTATTTGATATATATGTTGCTTGATTCATTATTATGTATTTAAGTCTAGTTTTTATGCCCTTCTATTTCTTTTATTTATCATCTTTCCCTCTATACTTACCCTTCTTATTGTGCTCATAGTCAATTCTTTTTTATTTGCCTTTCATACTTATCACTTAACAACTTTAAGTTTCTGTATAGGCATTTGAAGCAATTAAAATGCGGCTCTATTGATATCCCGATTCTTCCTTATTATATATGAAATTCATATTTTTTTCGTTATTTCTTCTAAACTTTTTCATTATTGCTATTTTACCTTTAACACTTTCCATATCA